TAATAACACGTCAAGCCAAACCGCGTCATATACCCTGAATATGCGAAAACGAATGCGTACCCCATTTAGTGAAAAAGATCAATAGGTAGAAAATGTCCGCTATTGAATCAACGTACAAACGAGTTAAAGTGTAGCGGGAAACGGTTGTGCCCTAGCTTAAACAAAAGGTTCTAAATGCAAGTAACAGAAACGCGTAATGGCAAGAGTAAGTCCAGACGGTTATTTACAAATGAAAATATGGCCGAGTTGTAAAAGCGTATAAGTTTGGCAAAGGGCTTACAGATGAAAATATGGCCAAGTTGTAAATGCGTGCAAGCTTGGCAAAGGGCTACCACACCCTAATCAGAAAGATCGGATGAACACGCTAGTTCCATATATACGTACAACAGCAGCCGGTTAAAAAGGCGAAAAAAAGCTGGTCTCCTTGTGCATTTTTTCCAACGACCGGCTTATACGAAAAAAATGTATTGCAAGTCCCGTCGTAGTTCCGCCCTCAGCCCCGTATTGTCCCGGAATTTTGACGGGGTAGTACGAGCCTTGCGCTAGCAGGGGTCCTACATGGGCGGCAGTCCTGCAGTTTCTTTTGGATTAGGTAGTGGTGCAGCGCTCCAGGAACTGTTGTCCAACACTTCTCATTCACGTGTATGATTCCTATATTCTTGTAGATATTGAGTTCAGTTCTTTTCTGCCACAGTTTGTTACAAAGTCGATACTATTCCTGCAGATCTGAAAGGCATCTTACTTACGCATCTTCTCCTAGAGGAGTACTCTGATATTTAAAAGTTCACAGGATTCAATTCAATTTCTAATATGTATCGAATGGTATATGTTAAGAGTGTGAGCCATTATAATCTTGGTGCATGTTTTACTGGTCTGAAATTGTGGCGAACAGTAGAGTTTGTCGATCGCAATCTGCCTTTCCTTGAGTGTTTTTATGTCATTTATGTTCCTTTGTAATCCCTCTTTTTTTTACGCAACTGGTGCCGATTTAACGAATCTTAACTATCTTATTTTAATTCCACTAATTTTACTTAAATCAACGAGTAATTCCTGCCATATTATTTTTTCCACTGAAGTCAGCTGACTGAACTGTAGTCATCTTGACAATTGAAAGAGTACAAATCTACCCAACGGTCGTGGTTTTAGTTGATACCGGTTTGAATAATTTATGAGAGCATTTTATTGAACGAAGATTCTGCGTATGTAGGCTAGATGGCGATTACACGTCCGGGACCTAGTTTGTTTCCCAGTCATGACTGGGAAACAAACCAGGTCCCGGACGTGTAATCGCCATCTAGCCTACATACGCAGAATCTTCTAGTGCACTAGACATTTGGGTGAATATCGTACGTATTATTTAGTCCGTAATTATTGCTCAAGGCCAAATTTGTATTCTGTTTTTGGAGGAGGGCTACCAACTTTACTTTTACCAGAGCTAATAAGATAATTGTGATTAGCACGAGATTCTAACACCCATATTCTGACTCAGTGCTCAAATGAGTGGAAAACTGCCACGAATCTTGACTATATCGCTTGGGGCAAGCTTTAAGAAGCGTGGTCTTCCAAATATGTGTGAGGGTAGTTAGCATAATTTAAACCATACTCCCGTAGGACTGCTATTGCGCTTGAATCATATGTGGATCACGAAAAGTGCTGCCACAAAAGCTCGCTGTTCATGAACT